GCAAGTGTCTTGATTGCTTAGTGCGGGGTCTGCATCCCAAACTACTGACCCATAATACACGCCTCCTATGCATAAAAAAACTGGGCAGGGATGACAAATCAAATTACGAGATCCTTGGCGATGTCATCTTCGTACAACCAAATGGCCGGACAAAGCTCTCCTACGGGCTCCAGCAGGCCAAGGAGCGGACGATTTTCTAATGCAACTAAGACGAATTACCACAGTGACCCAAAAATCTACCGCTACCGCCTGTGACGTAGGCTAAAAACAGAATCGACGAAACGGGGAAGCTTCCATCTTATCGGTGTTATACTGTCATGAAGGACATCGCAATGAGTCAGCTAGCAAGAGCGCCTTTATATTCATTACCGACTGCTGTCCGTCTGCCAGATATAGCCTTTGTTCGAGTGATCTGGTCGATGATCGGGCCGAAATGCCGTCATTCGGTGAATTAGGCTGAACAGCCATTGCGTCCGTGGAGACTAAACACTGGTATATTTTCGTTTGCCAATGCGTCACGCAACGCAAGCTAAATTTGGTTTGCGCAGGACAGGGCGAGTTAGACGATAATAGTGGTTGGCAAGCCTCTAAAGTGAACGATATCAGCGCCAATAGCGTCGACTAAAAACGATTTCAGTCAAATTTGCTATTGCAGAATTCATACTCATCTTTTAACGTTGAGTTTCCCATCTTGAGCAAAAAGCTTTAGAGCAAAGAGCTCTTTGCGGATTATTAAAGGCCTCAGAACCGGTTTTAAAGGAGTTGTCCGATTTGGCTGACAAACTACCGAGGCCAAAACCTCAAATTATTTTTGAGGAATTTATTACGGCTATATCAGACACTAGAATAACAAAACATTTGCCTCCAAATACTGTGTATTCACATTATTCAACATTTAGACAAATAAAGGATACGTTATATATAGTATTTATCAAGATCGGTCGCTCTACAAAGCTTCTCTATAATCTTGAAGAGTAACAAGCAATACACATGAAACACGACCTTAAAACAGGTATTCCTCTAGTTCATAGCTTTACAGATGTGTATCATGCAAGAGCATAACAGGACAAAGGCAAAAGAAGCCAGCCACTCGAAATTGCCGCCGGTTGTTGCACTGTCTCAGACTGGCGTTTCTGCGTAGTCTGCTTTATATATTTAATCACAATCAAATACTGCTTCGTGCGATATATACCAGCTCACCATGATGTCAATCCCCTCAACGTATATCGCTACGTGAGATTATCCTATCCGTGAAAATAACTTTATAACCAAGCTGAAATTTAGAGTGGTACTACTATCATGATTGAAACAGCTTCAACAGACCAGTTCAAACATGCGATACGAATACCTTATTTTCCTTGAAGATTGGAATATATTTCGCTACTTTTATGCCGTTATGTACTAATTTAGATCAGACCCAAAGTAAAATCCCTTTAATTATTTCCTTCTGGTAGCATCGTAAGTGATATAGTATTACGTTTGTGATAAAATCGAGAATAGAACCAGCGTTTCTGTCTCTTTATTGTGTCCAAATGACAAAACCATTTCTAACAAAAACCTATCCCAAGTAACACACGCTAACCTAAAAAAACAACTGCAAGTACGCTCTGTCATGCAAGCCAGGTCGAATAGGCGGAGGGTAGGAGTGAAATAGATTCGAACGTTTAGACAAGCGATGCTGTGCCGTTTACCAAAGCGGTCCTCTATGCGGGCAGGCTCAGGATAAGATGTCTTCCATTTAACGGAGAGGCACGCTCAACAAGTAGTGGGGCTTCACTCTGACCCACATACAAGCACACAAATGTCTTTCGGCGGTATCAGTGGAAACGAGGACAAGTAGCCTATCCTCTGACGACATACTAATTAGCAAGCCTTGCTTTAACTGGAACTAATCAAGGGTTGGCTGCTTCGAGCCCTACCAACATTGCTTTTATCTGTTCAGCAAATGGCACATATTCTGCGTAAAATAAGAAAACGTGAATCACCATCTTTTAATAGGTGAAGAAGGCTACTGATAAAGTTCTATGTAAGCAGCGCGAAAGCGATGCTTGCTGCATTACGACTGCTAGCCGGCGGCGTAAGTACGTGTACATGAATATGAACTAAAACAATACGCGGACTGGGGTTCCTCCCAGTTAGCCTAAAATAATCGATTGCAAGCTGCAATAGAAACGGGTCGATGTTCTTATTGAATGAGGCCCGGGAAACGGTTTAAAGTAGATAATACAAGAAACGTTAATAAAAGTTATAGTAAAGTATTCTATTGAAGACAACGACTTTTTAGCTTCAAAATATATACCACCGTATTACTTTCTCATTCCATTGTATATTACATTGCCTATCTAGACGGTCCCATGGCGTTTCTACCTGACGAGCTCATTATTGGTCTCGATGAATGGCTGGTGTCATGAATTAGATTCGCGTCTAAACAGCCCGGCAGTATATTTCGCAAAGGTTCTTCTCACAAAAGAAGAAACCTCCACACAATGAGGAACTCGTGTGCAAGTTACAAATCTATTGACGCACGATTTCCTGGGATTCGGAGGAAAGGCAAAAAAAAGTGGAAGTCAAAAAGTCATTCAAAGCCCATTAATGTGCACGAACGAATGATACAGGAAATATGGGTTTACGTACGAAATAATGATCAGGTGAGGAGCACAGGTCACAAATTTTTTAACATGCGGTCCTCTTAAAGCGGGTGAAAGGACGAATAATTCACAAAAGTAACTTAGAGCTCACCAAAGGCTCTACAGCAGGGTCTTAAGAGGGTCAAGAGCCGGAAGCCGTGAGACACTTATAGTCAAGGGAACCTGAGGGCCGACTGAAGAAAAATCTTTAGGCTTATGCTTGAGAAGGTCATTTGAGAACGGTCTTGAAATTATATTATTAAAATGTGGACGAAGCGAGTTAGGACCTTTTGAGTACCTCGAAGCTTCCTTTCTTATGGCTGCTTAAGGACGCGAAATTACTTCAAGCCGTGGCTGTCATTAAATACGTAAACGCTGATATGGGTAGCCCTTTATATAGGCATTTGATAAGCTTACATGGTTCAACGGTGCTGTTTTATTTGATAAATGCGTTTACTACGAAGAACCTACCACTAATTCTAACTCTATTAGTCGAAGGCTGGGCAAGCTCTGGCGTTGCTTGTTTATATCTCGCCTTATGACAATATGCTAGTACACTGTGTGAAAATGTGTCACTAATTTATCATAGGAAATAATTACGTGCGGGAATTCTGTTCTTGTTGATCCTATTATTGGAGAAGCTTATTCGGATAGAGCGTGTAGCCCTGGCCTATCTAACATCATTCTAGCACTTACATGACCAGTAACAGCAGAAACATCATTAATATACATATTTGAATTCCAGTATAACTTTCAATTACTACGTAGAGCATGGCTTTAAATGCATACAAAATTTTACCCTATTTTAAAATACGATAGATTACATGAAAGAAAAACGCACTTTATTAGCAGTCTCGCAAAACGCCTGTGTTACTGTTTACCTGTATTTAATTTCCATACGGGTCACGCACCTATTAGACGGTTGTTAACCTCATGCTTTTCTAACAGTAGGCCTTCATTGTTCCGGGTCTTCCTTTCCGTTTCTCAATGTGCCATTATCATCACCGCTATTTATGACTGTATATTACAGTGGTCACTTTCATTGGGTTTGACCCAGTTTACGCAAGTTAGTTGTCGTTCCTGCCTCAGTTAACAGGCCAAGCTTACCAAGTCTACTGCTTAAGCAAACAGCGAGTGAAGTTCGTCGGCTGCCGCTGAGAACTACCGCTGGGAACACAGCGAGGGCAGCCGAGGCCCTACGCCACCTATAATGTATATGAATGATTCGCTCTTCTCGCCGGTAGATGGATTTTCTTTAAGGCCATATCTCATTGAGCGTAGCGGTCAGGGTACAGACATTGCGGGGCCACAGGCAAGGGTGCAGTCTTTTCTCATTGAAGACTCGTCACCAGGCGTTATATAGAAGAAAAAAGTGACCGCTGACCCACTTTCAGCATTTACTGTACTAGGACAGTACTTATCACTGTGCTGAAATAGGTCAAACGAAGCTTAAACGGAAGCCATTTTTGTATCAGCTTGAAAATATAGATGCAGTCTTAAAGAGTCGAGCAGAGAGGTCAGCTACGATACATAACGATGTGCTAGTTTTTCGTTTGTAATTAAGCACTCATTAAATATGCCCATAGGAGATCAAAAACTTTAAGGTTCGAATAATCTCTACAAGACAGACTGTACTCATTTAGCGTAGGAGATACAGCTTATAGGCATCATAAAGCCACAAAGTACCGACACGTTGATTACTTCTCTACTTATTTGGAAGCACTATGTACGTGGGCCTATGAATTATCGACTTACTCTAAATATACTTATCATCGGCAATCTTGGCTGCTTCAAAAAGAACAAAAGACTTATTGCCATAAACAAATAGCAAATGAGGCTGGGTTTCATTCTGTTTGCTTTATAACAAACTGACCTTAAAACCCACGTCTCTGAACACACGAGAATGGACTGGCCTAAAAATTATCATTTTAGCATAAGCATGACCTAACTCGACGTGGCCTGGCTACATATGTATCGAACGTATTTGTCCAATATAAATATAGTTGTTAGGAACCAGTACAAAAACGAATGCCGCATGGAAAAAAGGTCATTGCATATAGGCCATTACCAAATTATTGAACATCGGCAAATTCTTAGCATCAACGAAATGACTAAACGACACGAAGCTGTGGGGCATAACATGTAAAATTAATAACAATTAGTAATGCGTCAATCGTAGACAAAAAAGCCCGATTAGGCTTAGTAGTTAATCTGCGTATTCATTCGAGCTTCTGTATAGGCCGTAAGGTCTCTCTTAAGCAGAGGAAAAACAGGGATACAGTTATGTGGGATTCTTTTTACTAAACAATCCATTGCCACCTTCTTTCTAAGAGACAACGCAGCATCAAATGGAATGAGTGCTAAAGGCAAAATCGTTCATACCAATGGATGGACCAGACATAACGAAAAACGTGCAATCCGCGTGCGATTGCAACAGGAAGCACCGCATTAAAAAAAATATACGAAAGGCCCCAACCGGATTAGTTATACCCACGGAGCTAGTTTCCTCAATTTCTCCGTCAGAACCTACTGAGACAGCCAAAGATTCACTAGGATATTATTGTCGAATATTCTTAGCAGGAGGCTTTGCTGGAATGTGCCTTATTGCCACGGGGCACCCACTGGACACAATCAAGGTACCTAACTTTCGACCGTTAAAACCCTAGTGAGCTTAGTATTATTCAACAGCAACATACCCCTATGCTTACTTGAGGTGCCTATCTTCAAATAGACGTTTCGGCGATGCGTACTTTGAGGACAAGATTTTTCCCAGATGAACAGTTAGGCATAGTGATCCCGAGCATAAACTAATTCCTGTTTAGGGTGTCTTCCCGTGCAGCTACGCGCCAATGTGCTGACTAGATGCACATTTAATAACAATAATAACGTACTAATATGCTATCAGTGCAGGTACCATCGACCATTTAGCTCATCTACGTACTGCACTATCATTTGATAAATTATTCTATTTACGTTTTTTACTGATTGTTCCTGGTTTTGCTTTCTCAGCTATGTTCAATACAATTGCGGGTCCATTATATTCCCTCGCGGTAACTCCAGTCTTTGATATTGCATCAGTAACCTTTGAAAGACCTTTCTTTTCGCACGCATAATGAAACAGATTTTATTAGTATTATTATACATTGGCAAACGACCACTGCGATTTTCCCTACTCTAAGGATATCATTACCACAATTGCGAGACATCTGACATTAAACAATGAGATTTAACAGCGAAGTACGATTTAACTGAGTGCAGGTCCGGATGCAAGCCATGCCGCCACCAAGGCCCGGGGAACTTCCAGTTTATAGCGGGGCTCTGGACTGTGCTAAAAAGACATTTGCTGAAGGAGGTTTCAAAGCCTTCTACCGAGGGATGGCGGCTCCATTAAGTAGTGTTACTCTCTCAAACTCCATGTACTTTCTAGGCTATTCTTTTGGAAAACGCTTACAACAGGTATTCTTTTCCTTCCAGTGCAATACAACCACATGAATCAGCTTGAAATGCAAGACTAATAATAATCAGTCCCAGTCATAAACCGAAATTACAATCTAATGCAAGACAAGACTCAAAAAAGGTCTAAAGTTAAGTCCTGGAATTTTTTGTCCGATTGCAACTCCGCTTGTAACGACAAGAATATCGGCACGCTCTGTAGCGTAATATGGCCGAAAACCATATAGGTTAAAATCTGATTCTATAGAACAATACTTTATCTTGTTTCACTCGTGAAGGCCAAGGTTGGCTTAGCAGGGCAATTCTGGACACGCTTTAAGCAGGAGGTACTCATCACCGAATTATTAATTATTACACTGTTGGAAGCTTTTCGAAAGTTGTACAGAGAAGCACGAGTTATGAGCGTCATAATTTCTATTAGATCTCTAAGAAAGCAATGGCTGTCCATCTTTTTGGAGTTTCTTTAACGATCCTGTAGCTAACAGGTATTTGTTCATTTCACATTTATACTAAATTTTTTTTCAAAAATAACTTCAGGTGATCTTGATAACTTAGAGAAACACTAAAATCCATCATTTTGATCGTAAATTTAATTTTAAACAATTAGATTTTTCAAAAATTTTTTTGAGCATCCTTTTAGCTACAAGGAACGTTGTTCTAAATTGTTTCAAAGGCGTCTCCAATTTGCTGAAAGACAAATATGAAAAACGGTGAAAGAGCTGCGTTTTAAAGTCCCAATTCAAGGTAAAATATTAATGCTGTGGTATAACTATAGGTATCCTGATCGCACTAACAGCCTCATTTTATCCCAGCGCTAACCTTGGTTCAACGTTAGCGTCCTGCGTCACTCAAGTCAGCAAGGTGATTAATATATATATATCTATATATATATATATATATATATTAATTGTATAGCGTTAACTAAGATCATATAATACACACAGTAATAGGCCATGTAACAATTACACATGCTATATCTTTCCTTATCGCTTGATCACAGTCTCAGGCCAGAAGGATTTGTGCACGCTGCAGTTTATCCTAATCTTGATCTCTGCATTCATTTTTCCAATTTCAATGCCCTCGTATTGGTTTCTATATCTGCTTGGTTATTTCTAAACCTTCGATATTGGTATACCATTTTAGTATGTTTTTGGCCTGAGTTTCCGTTTGCTTAGCTCAGACTTGACTTTCGACCGCCCCTTAAAGTTGTGCGTTGTCCGTTTGTTTTTGCCTTCATTTACCTGGACTGGAGTTTGCTGTAGGCCTGCCATCGCGCTGTGTGTATTTCTTTTCATCTCTGCGTGTACTTGCCCGCCCGCCCGCCCGCCCGTGAGTGGGCACTACGCCAAATCGTTAGAGAGCTGTTTTTTGCTGATACTATGCTTCTGCGGCGTGACTTGTGTCGTGCTATTACCATGTAATGGTCTGTCCTATTTTATTCCTGCAAACGCTGCCAACTGATCGCTGTAACATACAACGTACAACAAAGCCCTGTCTGTGGGGCAACTCCCGTAGATGTAGTATGACACTTCTATTTTCACTGTCTATTGATCCCACATCCTGTTGAGTTAACCACAGGTAGAAATGGGTCCATGGTAAGACGAACCACTTTGTTTTTGCCGGGGTTGTACTTCGTGAAGCAGATTACTAACGAACCTTAGATTCGTTGTTGTTTTTGTTGTCCTCAATTAGAGATAACCTTCACCATATCTCAGCTTTCTTAAACCATAGATAACCTGCCAGAGAAGCAGTTCTAAGCAGCCTCAGTCTGCAAGTCAGACGCCGCTGCACTTTTGCATCAGCATGTTGGATAATTGCGCCAGATCGAAGTACCACCTACAAGCACCCTTTTGCCTTTTTATAGACTGCTATGTCATTAAAGCTATTGGCAGATTGCACGGCAATTGCCAGAAGTAAATAGCCACACTAACCTGATCGAAAGTTCCAAGTCCTAAACTAACCCATTTTAACTCACGATTTGCCTAGTACCAATATTTTTTTTTGCTAAGAAATCCGTACACCGAAAAGATATTGTCTATATTGCACCAGTAGTGAAAGGTGGAAGAAGTACCGCGTCAGGTGCAGTATCAAAGCCGGTTTTTTACGGTGACTGCACACATCATTAGATGCATTGCGCTAAATCTAGTCAAACGTAGAGACGTATCTAGGCCCAATGAAACGCAAGTGGTACGCGTTGGTGTATCTTGTCTTTTTGCGATTCTTGAAATTTTAGTGCAGAAGGTACGGCACAATCCACAGATATGTCGCTATTCAAGCAAATCCGACAGACTTTGAAATTAACAAGGAACAACCTATGAGCAGCTATGTACCTATTATTCGCGTTCCCATATGTAAAATCGTTGTTCACGGTTTCTCGAAATAAATCGATAATGGAGTATGCATGCCCTACAATTGCCCTTTTCGGGGCAGCCTCTGTAGTCACATTTGCTTAGATCGGGAGAATGAACGCGTCGAAGCCCACGTCGGGTATTTCCTTCCTTAATTCAGGAAGTAAGATATAGCGATGAAGGCTGACGTGGTCATCAAGTAGCCAGACTGCGTGCGTTCGGTCGTCATGCCAACAACCTATGAGTCCTTTGAGGAATTCGAAATAGCAGGTTGTATTCATTGTTTCATTTTCAACGAATATCTCATAGTAGTAGATGCTACTACCGACAGCTTACGTCCGAACCTACTCAGAAATGCTACTAATCCGATTTTTCTCCTAAGTGACGCCATTTTTTCGCTTGATACCTTTTTGGCTAGTAGAGGTTGCGTCATGCCTAATCGATAACAATAGTATATTCCAGGCAAATCTTTCGTTAATGAACTTCTGGAAATTGCATGCATTTTCAGATGGCCTATGGGTTAATTTTCCGGGGACCCATATTTTACTCTGTTGCCACATTCTTAGTGTTTTGGTTATAACTCTGTAACACGTTGCGTGCGAAATGGCGGTTTTGGCCGACAGGGCTCTTAAACACCAAGGCTTGCTTTCGTGAAGAGCTTTCCAGATTGTGGCAATGCGTTTTTGTCCTTCGGGTTTCAACTTTTGGTTACCTCGCCGCTGATCTTCAGTACTCAAGTTTCCATTCCTATTGTATTTTTGCTTACGACCTCCTTGCCAAATGCCTTCACCGATCTCCGATGAGTTTCCAAGCCGCCGTTACTTTCGAAGGATAATGACTTGACCATTGAGCCTTGATTTGCAAGACTGGAATGTTTTTTCTTCTAAAATCTTAAGTGGTTTTACCTCATATGTTTTTAGCAGACTGGACTAGTTACCGGCCAAATTTCGAAACATTGAATAATGGGTTTGCTCGTGCGGGTGGCTGTTAAAACGGCTTTATTATATCGTTAGTTAGCATCACCTGCATTTTATAAGATTAAGAAACAGTTATGGCCAAAGTGATTTGATAAAAAATAGCTATTCTTTGCTCATTAATATGGTTTGCCACGTTGCAGCATTTTTTTGTTGTACTCTTTTGATCGCCAGCAGACGTCGAATCTGTATTGCGTTTCATAGTATGTATTTATCAAAGAGTGTGTCTACTTAAAAGACGAATCGACCAAGTCACTGTAAATTGTCGATTAATAAACGTTTACCTCACCTTGAGACTAGCCACTGTGATACCGAGTATTATTCATCTTGACTGAGTACCGTTCACCCAGGTCGACAATGAGCCGTTAACATACAGCCAGACAATCCGCGCGGCGATGACTGCGGCTGTGTTCATGACGCCCGTCACCATTCCTACGGACCGTACTAAATGTTTGCTGCAGATACAAAGCCAGCCAGGAGCGCAGAAATTTAACGGTCCTATTGATTGTTTATGGAAACTGTACTCGTCAGGAGGAATAACGAATTTATACAAGGGAGGCGGTGTTGCGGTTCTGTTGGAGATACCTGCTGCGGCTGTATACTTTTCCACGTACGAAGCCGTGAAAGGCGAACATATACCTGAAAGGGGCTATATTGCTAGGGTACTTTTGGCTGGAGGGCTGGCTGGTGCCATGTCGTGGGTTATAACCTTGCCCGTGGATTTTGTCAAGTCCCGTGTGATGACATCGTGCACGAAGTACGTTTTAGTATTCCTTTGAACTACGATTATGCCTAACTTCTGTCTGGTTTCAGGTCCAATGTGGTGCACACCCAATTACAAAAACCCCATATTCCCGTGCACCATCCCATGCAACATGTTTAGCAATGCTAATGCAGAGTTGCAAATTTCTTTGGATTCTAGAAAGAGAAGGGGTAATTAAAATAACCGAAAGTGCTGACGCTTCACATAATTTCATGTAATTTCTTTGAATGTGAGCTTTGATAATTACAGAAATCGTTAGATGTCTTTGATAAATTGAGCAAACGTCTAGAACTAACGGGGAGGCTAATATAACCTATATTATTTATTATTACAAAGTAGACCAAACTCTTTGAATGGCCCCGATTATTCTACTACTACTAGAAGTACTGAATCCTTTATTCGACCAATAATTACTCTACCTCTTTACGTTACACTGGATTTATTGGGCCTGGTATTAGCGCCTTCTAGTTCATAGATGAATATTGGTTTTTCCGCTTTTTACAGATTTTTCGTTTTACGTTTGAGATTCCATTCGAGATTTCCAGCACGAAACAGTATGTTTGTATAGGGATTTCAAACCTAGACATTTTCAAGGATCCCTAAATATAGTAGACAACTACGTTAGAGCTGCGTGGAGATAAAATCTAACCGTGTGTTGAATCGTTTTTATGATACAGGACCAAAGTGTTTCACGTGCTCTGGGATACCCTACGACACGAAGGCATTCGAGCCTTTTACAAGGGTCTGACGCTCGTTGTCCTGCGGGCATTCCCTGCCAATGCTGCCTGTCTTTTAGGCTATGAATCAGCATGTAAAGTACTCCGCTGTAATTCACATTAGTACTTTCATATAACAAACGCCTCAACAACGAAAGCACTCAGAGGAGTCGGAGCAACCGCTTTGGTGCCTGCAAATCAACTCTGTCGCAACTTGTTTCCCTCGATTGCTTCTCACACCGTTTCTTAATGATTTCCAATAATACTTTTAATCCATTCGGTGGATACTCGTTCTTATAAAGTATTTACCTGTATGCTCATTGTTGATAGACGCGTGCAATTATTCTGTCCAGGCTGATTATCTAGGGTAGAACATAACAAAACCTGAAAAAAAGGAACTTACGTCTAATGTGTGTAGAGTAAAGCCAAATTTCATGCCATCAATATACCGCGTGCATTATCACTAGACCAAAACAAGTAGATTCTTATGATTTTCATGTACTTTGATGGCATTTTTTCTATATATATTGAGTTGATTATCACTCTATAAATATAAAAAAAAGACTGTATGGCGGTAACGATGCTGCCCACTTTATTTCCTACCCGAAACTAGATTCATGCTTTGCGAAACACTTCAGCGTAAATTACTTTTATTATGAAAAAATCAACTTCTTAAAACCAAAGCAGATATGTAGAGTATTTTTTGTTGTACAAACATGAAATGTCGTATTTAAAAGTGGTTTGTTAGCTGAAGCTGAATTCTAGCGTGATTAAAATATTGTAAATATAGGAGAGTTGCTAATGTTTCTGTGCAGTAATGTCTGGAATGACTTAGACCGATGCAAAGGGTAAGTCTTGTGTGTCGCAATAAAGTTATATTAGAATGTTAAGAAATAAGAAAAAACATTTTTTTATATTTTATTTATTTTATTTAATATTTTAACAAGTATACTAGGTAGTAACGTCGAATTTGAAAAGAAAAATTTAACTGAAATAGTCTAGAGAAGAGATTCATGATAAAAAACATTTTTTTGTCGACGTATTATTATATATGGGATTAAAGGCTTTGTAAAGGTCTCTGTGCATTTTTGTTCAAGCGGACAAATATCCTGAACTTCAAGCACGCCGCAAACCAGCGGAAAAGTTAAGATCAAAGCTCTGTTTCAAATCGTTATTTACGACTTATGTAGAACGCAAAACCACATTTTCACTCCAAAAAGGCTGCTGTTTCGCTAATCAAAGAACATCCGGACACTCTGGCCATTATTTCCCGACGGGTGTGTATCATATAGAGACCATCCGGTGGGATGTGCCTAGTCCGATTTTCGAAGTATCTTATAGTAAATACAGCGAATAAAACAAACGTTTTAATTATAATTTGCCCATATATTTTGAATTATACGAATACTGTTTATATGCAATATGATCTGAATAATATACGAAAGATTTTTCTCGTTTTTGTTCTCGAGGAAAGTAACTTAGTGTATGGCAAATCGTTTCTTTCTAATCTGAAATGACAGATGGAATACTTGTTCTTATTGAATGAAATTTTGTGTGTACTAATACAGGCAAAATAAGCCTATATACCTGTATTTCAGCGTTAAAATGCGTCGGTCACACGTTATTGAGGTACGCACTTGAATTACGCTAGGTCTATTCCAAAATAGAAGTTTGCTTAAAAGCCCTTTCACATAAAAACGTAATACAAACGTAACAGTTTGATTACCGTATCTATTGCATATGTAACGATGTAGAAATGCGTATTTTGACGTCGATTCCTTGATCGTACCCTGGGAGCACTACGCCGAAACTTCTACAACGATCTACGCTTTGCTTACTAATTCCTCGCTTGGGCCGGGCTAAATTGCTAGAAGTTTTTGATCCCCTGGAGCACCCAAAAATTTGGTTAAGCAGTTCGGTGTAAAATTCTCGAAAAAATTTGTGGAGCTTTGTCGTATAACACGTCTATTATTATGGACTTTTACTGATTCTGTTGTTGGTCATTTGAATGTCACGGTAAATTCCGTATATTCATTTTTCTCAGGTCACAAAAAGCCTGTAGGGCATGTATTATGTACTACTCAACGTGATGCAGGCAACAAGTAGTTACAAAGGAAAGACTCCTTTGTATAATGTACATTTTCTTCTCAGTTTGACAACTGCAGACGACACGGGCACACTAAAAGCTTTCTATTTTACTAGGTATAATTTTGTTAACAAGTAAAACCCTACTCTTTAGATCAACCGCTACCGTATGATGAATTCGATGCCTTGGGTTCCTTAAAATACGTGGTTTTGTGCTTCGTACCTACCTCTGATGACTATCATCCATAGGACCACTGGAAATTTCTGACGCACTAATAGGGTTTCTTTTCTAAATTTTGATGTCTACTCTTTCTACTTCGAGCCAATGATCAATGAAATTAGCGAAGATGCAAAATTGAATTTTTTTCTTTTTTATAATATTAAGACTAGAAAAGAAAAGAACTGTATTTCTAGTGCGATTTACAAAAGAAACTTACGACAAGATCACTATTAAGGAATATTTTTCGAGAAATCGATTCTTCTAATAAAACTCATTTTATTTCCAGAAAACCGAAAATGTATTTATTAATTATTGTTAGGCCATAATGAGGGAATGCATGGGGAATGTACATTTTTTTCATTTAGTTGCAAACGCCTAACACAGCTCTATAAAACCGTAAAATCCAGGTCCCAATAATCAGAAGGCTGTATATAATCACATATTTGCTTACATATAGGACAAAATATACTAAAACAGCAAAAGTATTCCTTAAACATTTTAAATGTATATTGTCACTTGCAGCGGCTCAACTGAATGTGTACTTAATATTTTAAATTCTAATATGTTATAAACCAAAAAAACAGATGAATACGAGAATGTTGTTGCCGAAAATCATTTCGTCATGCGTCCCACACTGCGATCAGTTCAGATCATTCGTATGTTTCGCACGTAAAGTATAATTCGAATCTTCACGCACCCGTAAGCACAACGACAGCTTTTACCTATTTAGTAAACAATTCATAACCAGATGAAAACGTGAGAGTAAGAATTTCTACAAATGTCAGCCGTCATAAACAACGGTAACCACGACCGCAATTTAGTGAAAGGACCACTGAACTTGGATCCCCGCGCTTATCAGCATCGTCGCAGACAGTCAACTTGGCCCGCTCTCAGACTTGCCTTCTTTGCTTCGAAAGTTAGGAAAAAAAAGAAGTTAGAAAGAAAGAAAACTGAAAAAGTTACGTACGTATTGATGGTGTCAGGAAGCGGACGCTCCAACTCTCGAAATTGTTGGCAGATTTTTTTAAAATTCTTGTCTGTATCATACCATAACCATCAGTGACGGCCAAATTAGCTGTAATTACCAGGTTATATAGGTATTATGTCATACAAGTTGCTATCACATCACTAAAGAAGGGCGAATGTTAAGTACATCACGCTCCATGTCCTTAGCACCGTTACGGATGCTGCAACGATTTCTGTTTAGATCAGGGTACCTACACAAGGCTTTCGGCAATACCAGCAACCCCACACTTCTGATGATTAACCCTTGAAACCCCCGACTATTCCGTCGCCACTGTATGCACGAAAACCCGAAATGGAAATAAATACAATTTAATTTGAGATTTGAGAGGACGTGTGTAAACTCCGAATAAATTCTCCGCACGATAGCCGAATAGATTCCATGCAAAAGATTATGAAGGGTCAATCGTTCAGTGGTATAAGCTACGGTAGTACGACGCAATGGGTCTGTTATTTGCCAGAGCTCACCGCCGCTGGTCTTTTCGCGCTGCTGTGCCGACAACCATCTTGAGTATATTGACAGCAAAATTGATAACATCTAGGTGCAACATAAGGACGCTGCTCGCGTAGTCCTCCACATCTCCGCCATAATAGTCTATCCGATCGGCTATTATCTGCACAACACCAGCGTTGTACGCCGAGTAGGCGAGTGCCATGAATCCACCAACTACTCGGTCGTAAACCGGTATATATGGGCAAAAGTGCGGACAAACGACAAGCATGCCAAACTGGACGCAACATAAAACATATACGGCGACAGCCATATGGCTGATAAATGGTGTCATATCAAAAATCGCATAGAGAGCAATAATCGCTACGGTTCCAGTGGAGATGCATACGATCGTCATCATGATTAGCATCGCCGGAGAATCGAGACTGGTAGCGATTGTTGCCATGATCGCGGACTGGGTAAGCGTTAGAATGGCAAGCAACCCCAAGTTGTATGGGATCTTTGAGCGTAACGGCGGGAACACATCAAGAAAGATCGTAATCTTAGTTGACACCAACAAACACAACCAGCCGATCCAAGGGTTCTCATAGACGAACTGCTGTACGGCGGGGCTTATTTCGGTGATGGCAATCGTCGACGCTGACATCAATTGACAGCATGCTAAAATCGAGAGAGCTTTGCCTACGAAAAGGTTCTTCGAGATGAACTCCGTTATTCCATCTTGGTTAGACTCAATCCTCTGATATTGAGTTTCAGTATCCTTTTTCTCTGTTTTGTGGGTCTGACGCGTGGCCGGTGTTAGCGTGTGACGAAACATCCCAGTTGAAAAAGGGTACGAACGATGAATTCCTTTAACTCAAGTCCAGCGTTCGTTGTTTACAACATATTAGAGAGCAACTGTATAGTATAGTACCGTACATTAAAGTTCGATTCGCATCGGTGGTTCGCATCCATGTTCACAGCGGGACCGCTTTGCTAACCTTCTCTTTTTGCTTAACATCGAATGTTTACAATTGTTTTCGGCTGATACTTTCTGTTATTCTAAATAGAAACGCGGTACTTGTTTCGCGCTAAAGCTGGTTAATATGATTAGACTGGAACTGCCTGGGATTGATTGCCTATCGACATACTAAGGGCTTGACAAAACGCCTGTATATGCTGGAATAAAGTAGCAGATTGAGATGGAAGGATTAACGGTAAAAAGATGACTGCACACGACAAGACTCGCCGGGCTAGCCGACAACAAGCCCAAAAAGCGCTAGCTTCTCCAGAGCCCATAATACTAATTAACTGAAGAGTATATATATACATGTACAAAAGAAAATTCCCTTAAGCAACTCTATATATATATATATATATATATATATATATATATATATATGTAGTGAGGATGCGTATTCGTAGCGTATTAGATCAGTCTTGAACTGTCATTTTAACGACGGTTCCCTTTTGTGTTCTGCTGGTTATCGTTGTACGTCGTCCGCTCGTTTTGTTTGGAACAGACGAAAATGACGGGAAGCGTTTCATTCTCCAATCATGTTCCACTCGTTCAACAACCGTAAGCGACTACGACGAACACTTTTTTAGGTACTTGAAAGGACCGGCCTACTAAACTTGACGCATGTAATCGGACGACAGTTTACAGGTAAAATGGGCTTTCCCTTTTTATGCTATTTTTAGACATTATATAGATTAATTTTATGTGGTGATAAAGTTCACTTACTGAAATCTTGTCGTTAATCGGGCCGCCAGCGTCCACGCGCGATTTCACTAGTGAATTGTATTGAAGTGTATGTTGAAATGATATCATTTAGGGCACTAACTAACCCTATGAAAACCCCTGCGTCATGGATCAAATTAAGAATACATTCGCATGGCTTTAAATCTGCCCCTTTGCCGAATATCCATTTTCTTCACAAGCGTGAATGCATTTTGAACTCATCATTCTTTTGTGTATAACTTCAACTTGAAACAACTCGAAACTTTCCATTATGGCCTAAAACCTATTAGTATCTGCGCAAAACCAATGCTTATTTAGCAAGCGATAACGGGATTACTGAAATCGCAGGATACGTTTCAGTTGTGGATCATTGTCGTACTCGATTTTCAACAAAATCAAGTGTCTTCCTAGAAGTTGAGAAGTTGTCCGTTTTTCGTGTATTTTACTATTTGGCTGATACAGCGACTGTATACAAGAGCGGGTAATTAATAATAACGAAACTTAAAAATAGTTTAGTATTATTGCTTAAAAGAGCGCTACATGTGTTTGGTAAATAATTTCGATAGAAAATATTCCCATGAGCAAAAACCCCAGAAGGACGTTTATAGACAGGACTCTTTGTGTATTCACTAAAAAAAAAAGATCAAACGATTCAACGGAATGGCAAAGTGCCCCTCATAGTAAATTCTATTAATTTGACGTCCTAAGAGAGTTTTCGCAGTGCATCAGAGACAATATGGATATATATATTGAACATCATGTATAGGCAGCCCCGTCGGTTGAACTTTGTTCGGTACCCATACTGCATTTTGAGCTCGATGCATCCAATCAATTGGTCTAACGCACACTATTGGTCGATGTTTCTCTACCCGTCTATGCACTACCTTTATCTCTTTGATGAACAACTTCCATGATTTTTCTTTGATTTATAGCGGTCGCATCGTACGTGTTGAGAAGGGTGTGATGTATCGCCTAATTGAACTTGGTTGATTACAATGGCTCTCATTGCTGTTAGCTGTTTTCCTGAAAATTCTCGAAAAGCTTGCTTTCCTCTCACGTTACCCAATACTATAATAGAACTGGTTTCAGAAAAGAGCTACGTTCCCCTCATCCTTTCGATCCTGCTATGATAAGGCATTGTAAATAGGGGTACGTATATAACGGAAGAACTCTGGCAGACGTTCGACAGTGGCCACCGCTATAATTCAAGTGTCGTTCGATTTACTCCGAAAATCATTCAGCTTAATACATGCCTCCTCGAATGCGGTTTCCGTCTTCAACATTAGTGGATTAGCATTTGTAGACGAAAAAATAACAATATTGATTATTTTTCTGTAGAACCTACCTGTAGGGGAACTACCGCGTCGTTTATACCTCAGGCCTGCATCGTGCGTCGCGCATTTTCCCTACGAGTTACTTTCTTATGACGTCCGAAATTGGCAAATATGTTCTGCATTTGCTAGCCGTGAGATTAATGATTTTATTATCATTCTCAATATCGGTACCGTAGACTTCGTTGACAATTAATTATTATGGCGTCACTTAAACTTTTAATTATCTACGCTAGTATGATATCGGAATTGATCAGCATGACACAGATAATGAATTTTACAAATATGTACAGCACTTTATACTTGATATGACTATATATTAATAACTAGCGTAGCGTACTTACGAGACGTTTATGAACCTGTTGTTTGCAACTGTCGTACTCCAAGTAGGCACTGTTATTAGATCTTAAAGTGTGTCGTGTCGTTAAACGACAACACTAAAGTGCGTATTATATAAGACGAGAATGGAGAAGCGACCAGTGAAGCGGATGCAGGCAAACAAGCAGGCTACGACGTCAACTCAGAGTGGCAATTTGGCCCCGCAACGACAAGCACCCGCTGCCCTTCGCCAACCATCTTCGCGCGTACGAAGACAGCAGCCACGTCAACATCTCCGAAGAATGTGAAGGGGAAAAACTAGGTTAGTTTGTTCGAAGGTAAAGAATCACACACCCACACACACAATAGCTTTTGAGCGTGGCGACGTTATTGCAACTAGCAATCAACTGGCCTTGACAACGCGCGGACGATGTTCCCAGTTTCTCGATAACGAATCACTAACAAGACAAACAAACAGCGTGCAAACATCTACCACATCGAATAAATGAACTTCCGATGCAGCCATAAGTTTTCTTAGCCACCACTTACAAAGTAACTAATAAACTGTACCTTTTCTCCATTTTCAGCGAATATAAACGTTGTGTAAAATCTAGCCTCCCAAGACCGCTTTTCTATTTTTCTACGGGCACCTTTTAGCCTAAACGCAAACAAGTTAAGTCAACAGATATAATGCGATCATTTAGCTCTAACATATGTATCTCAGGCTAGCCGGATAGGTGGTAGAGGACAGAGCAGAAATCTTCGGCAGCCGGTTACAACCTACTATTGCCTCTATTGCAGGACTGGCTGGAGGGCAGTCTTAGGGCTTGTGTTGTCCTTCATTTGTATTCATAGCCAGAAACGCATCGCGCGCCATGGGTAGCCTTCTCAAAGGACACTGTAGAAGCGCGCAAAAGTTTCTCCATAGAAAACAGGTCCCGAAAGCGAGCGTAGTAGTTCACTAAGGGTACGCCTAAAGTACTGCTTACCATGACCTGCATTTAATGAATTTCTTATATAAAATATAACACTAGGTTGAATGCGCTAAGACCTTACGAGAATAATATTTCATGTTTCTGGTAAATATGTCTACGTATTTTCTACAGCTTCGTGTATGTGCACCAAGAATGTTGCGCTAGTACGGCGAAGTTCACAGCTTTTTTTGCTGAGTCCATGGCTTCATACAAAGAACTTAGGCGGTTGTGTCGTCTACGGCAGGAGGCCCTATCAGCATCTGTCGTTTGTTTAGACAGCTCCTTTTACTTCATTTGTAATTTGGTAGCCACTTCGATCCCGTTAATGTCCAAATCGCTAACCGACGCAGCATTTCGTACTAGGATGATGGAAATTATATTATCCTAACCGGAGAAACTGACTATTAATCAAACCTTAGGTCAGACTCTGACAATCATATTTAAATTTCCTTTGTTCGTCTCGATCAGTCGATGCGTTTCACGTGGTGTGCGCAGTGTCTAGTTTTTGGATACAAATTGTTACTAAAGTATATCCTCAGCATTTCGTGGGGTACATGTAAGTGCGATATATACCCACACATGGGCTAATCCTGTTAATTGATTTTTATCCGAATTTTTTAGTCGCGCATTGCAGTAACGAAGAAGAAAGGTTGTATGTTCATACGCATCCAGTAGACAGAATCAATACCTCAAAAGGACATCTGAAAAGTACACTATGATTCTATAATGTTCACAACAGCTAGGTCTGTGTACAACGGGTACCGTATGAGGTGGGTTATCACATAGCAGGCAACTGTTCTTAAATGGATGGCGGAGCAAACGCAACGATTTGTAAAATGGAATTAGGCAGAGATCTCTTAGTCCCAAACCCTGAACAGGAAATAGTGGGGTATACGCCCACGGTCGGACGTGCGACGGTCGGCTCAGTCTAGCCAACTGCCAGTGAACTGGTGTGCCACTAAGTTACATAGTCCATTTTAGTGCTTAGCCAAGCGTTCGGACTATTGGCAAGTAAGCTTCGTTCTCTCGACTTTCTTCAAACTCAATTTTCTCTCATCTTAATAGTTTTCACTGAAGAAGGCAAACCCTCGACGTAAAGGCTAGTTTGCATGCTGATAGAAGAGCATTCAGTTCCACTCACTATGCAGCGGTCCCGCTGGCCTGTGTTAGCCCCTTCTGTTTAGCCCGCTGCCGCGAATACAAGCAAACATTTGTCAAGCGACTCAAAACTTATTATATAATAGATGACCTTTTACAGGCTTCCTCTTACCTAGGATTGATTGCGATAGTTACTGTACAGTTTTAATAATTTTACTAAGGTCATAATGAGTGTAAGATTATTCTAACAAAAAAATACGGTTTCTAATATCACTATGAATCTTCGTCAACATGATGGTAACAAAGGTGGACCTCATTTTCCAGCGGCTTTCTTCCTGGAAGTAAATCTGTGTTTGTTAGATTTTGGATTACATGC